GAGAAGAGGAGATGGGGGAGGGGAAGGTTGGAGCGAGAGGGAAGGTCGAGTGAGAGGGGAGGAGTGGCAACAGAGAGGAGGCAGGTGCCAGAGATGGAGAACGAGAATCGACATCTCGGTGGAGCGGTTGTCGAAGTGGGGAATGACAGCAGAGGTTGAGGTAGGGAGTGATAGCGGAGGTTGAGAAGTTAGGAATAAAGGAATGGAGTCAATAAAGCTAGGGTTCTTTTTACCCTTTTGCTAGGGTTCTTTTTACCCAGATATTTGTGTTTTGGGTTGGTTAGCAGTTACGAGTTTTGATATATAAATGGATCTCAATCTTTATGTTAATTAAATTACGGATATCTGTATTCGAATCTGTATTCGAAACCGCAATTAAATCCTACACTCATATACGTATCTGAATCTGTATCCAAAAAAATCCAAACGGATCCGTATCCAAATCTGCATCCAAATCCGCAACTGAATCCTACACTCATATTCGTATATGAATCCGTATCCGAAAAAAATTAAAACTAGATCCGTATCTGAAACAGTTTCTGCCCGATTTTAAAATTAGCTTACCATATCCGCATCTGTTTGGATACGGATGCGGATCTGTTCGGATAAAACTGAACCATTTGGCACCCCTACTCATATTCCCTAATTAAGGATAAGTTAGTTGAAAGCACTTCGACACCTAAAGTGGTAATTCTACTATGATTCTTTTAGATGAAAAAGGTTAATCTAGCAAATACGAATAAGAAATGTAACAAAAGTTATGATTAGTTAAAACTTAAAACTTTCCAACTAATCCCACCATCTTGTTTTGATCTCCTGACAGAGCTTTTAAAAAAAATTGACTTCAAATTTTAAATTCTTTTGTTTTTATTTCCTTTAAAAATTAAACCCTTATTCTTTTTTCAAACTCCTTTTCTATTTATACTTTGTGTGTGGAATTTTTTAAATTTTCCAAAGTCTTCCAAAAATTATTTAGGTGCTATATTGTTTTCTATTTATTTCTTCCGTTGGTAATTAATTTTGTAATTAATCATGTCACCTACGAATTTTGGTTAAAAATAAGTGATTTATCTTTTCAAGAGCGAATGCGAAACAGGTAGGGAAGAGAAACAAATTAATGGAATGATGCAGAGGCACAGGTGAAACAGTAGTTTTTTGGGGGGGAGACAAATTAGGGGTAGTGAAACTTGGAGAAACGAAATTACCCTTCTTTATTTTCGGCCCCTATTTGATTTTTTATTAATTTAATAATTAAAAAAAGCTATTACTGGTGCATCAAAGCAGAACTCATTTTATATTTACATAAGAATTCTCATTAAATTATATCTACTCTTAACTAGAAAATTCTAACAATCAAATATTTCATAATCTTTTTTTTTTTGGTAAATGAAAAATTTTATTCATTTTCTATTTTTTAAAAATTCAGCACGGCAAGATGCTCAGCAACTGAGAATACAAGAAAATCTCTATGTCAAAGAGATCACAAAACTCAAAAAATTACAGAGAACATATCCATGCTCTGTTTGTTTCCGAAAAAGTGCTGTTGAGAACGTTGGATAAAATGCTAAACTTTATCTCCTTGAAAACTTGATCAGAGATCTTATATTTCAACTTGAAGATTCTGGCATTCCTTTCTATCCATATGCTGTAGATTGACGAGGTAAAAGCCATTTTTTTTATTTTTATTTTTTTTTTTGTTTGAATCCCTTTCCCCTTAACCTGAAGCAGTACCAGGAATAACTTGAGCCCAATCACAAGACCTCCACTTGAATTGCAACCATTCCATGACCATAGACCAAACACTCTTCGAATAAGGGCACTCAAAAAAGAGATGATCCCTACTTTCATAACTGGAGTCAAAGCATAAGTAGCAACTATTGCTATTTACAATCCTCCAATTGTTAAGTCTATCTAGAGTAAGAAGATGGTTTTGAATTGCTAACTAGCTGATGAAGGAATATCTGGGGATGTTTGCAGCCTCCCAAATTGTATTACACCAAGGAACTGAAACTGGAGCAGGAGAAAGAGCAGTATATAGAGCTGATATTTTAATATTTGAATCCCTACAGCAGGATTTAATGAGAATCTTCAAGTTATCAGCTCCATTATATAGCCTCAGAGCTTTATCTCTAATCTTCAAAATCTGTTTCCATAACCAAGAGTTGCCATTTTTTGCTTGAACAGACCAGATGTCATTTTGCTTTAAGTATGTACTATGGATCCACTTTATCCACAAGCTCTCCTTATTAACATGTATATGCCAAAGGATTCTCAAGATAGAAGCAAAATTCCAGATAGTTGCTGAATATATGCCCAGTCCACCATTTTTCCTACTCAAACAAGTTTGTACCCATGAAATGAGGGGAATTTTTGTAGACTGCTCAGAACTGCCCCACAAGAATTTCCTCACTCTTGATAAATTACAGTCTACCTGCATAAGATTGCCCCCTATTTTTCATACAGGCCTGAAATTGACCAGAGATTTTATTTAGGAGAGGAGTGCAATCCATGAAAGATAATCTCTTACATATCATAGGGACTCCTAGATATTTTATAGGCAATGCACCCTCAGGGAAGTTCAGTAAGTTTTTGACAGTTCTTTTAAAACTTTCATCAACTCCTCCATAGAAGATTTTGTATTTCTCTAAGTTTGCTTCCAAGCCTATAACAACACTGAATTCCCTGAAACAATTGAAGATCTTACTCACTGAATGTATGCCTCCTTTTGAAATAAGTAGAAGATCATCAGCAAAGATTAGGTGTGTGATCTTAAACTCACCACACCTAGGATGGAATTTAAAAGATCTGTCATCTTTAAGCTTTGCCAAATTTCTAGATAGGTACTCCATCCCCAAAATAAACAAATAAGGTGATAGATGATCACCTTGCCTTAAACCTCTTTCTCCCTTGAAGTAACCATGGAGTGAGCCATTAAGAGAAATTGAGTATTTGGGGGAAGATATATAAGCCATGATCCAATTTATCATCTTGTCTGGAAAACCAAGTCCTTTTAACATTTCCTTTAGGAAACCCTAATTAATAGTATCAAAGGCTTTTTTAATGTCAATGCTTAACATAACCCTGGGAGAGATGTGTTTCCTATTGTAATTCTTCACTAACTCATGAGTAGGAAGAATATTGCTAGAGATTTGCCTCCCTTTCACAAAGGCACTTTGTGCCTCATTAACTAGAACTCCCACAATAGGCTTGATTCTGTTAGTAAGGATTTTATAAATGATCTTATAGATGCAGTTGCGACATGCAATTGGCCTAAAGTCAGATGGAGTTTTGGGGCAGGTCACTTTTGGAATCAATGTAATAGCTGTAGCATTTACTGCTCCTAAAAGCTTACCAGTCTTGAAAAATTCTTCAATTGCCAGAGATATGTCATCACCAATCACACTCCATGCTGATTTGTAGAAGGACATGCTATATCCATCAGGACCAGGAGCTTTGTTTTCTGACATAGAGTGAACTGCATTTCTGATTTCATCCCTGGAAACTGGAATAGATAGAGTATCAGCTTGTGTATTATTTAAGCATGGACCATAGCCAAAAACATTGATATATGGATTTGAAGTGAGAGAAGATGAGCCCATGAGAGTTTTATAGAAAGTAATCAACTCATTGATGATCTCATTTCCTTCTGTGATCATATTTCCTGCACTTTTATATAGCACCATTACTCTATTTTGATGTCTTTTTGCTTTGATAGCAGAATGGAAGAAGCTTGTACATCTATCTCCTTTCACATTCCATTAAATTTTAGCTTTCTGATGATAAAATGACACCTCACATTCTAGCAATTTATTATAAGAATCAATACAGATTTTTTCTTGATTAATCAGATCAGAATTTAGAGGATCCCTTTGAAGGTATCCAGATTCATTCTTGCTCTAATCACTTGTTCACTAATGTTGTAAAAATTTCTCTTGTTAAAATCCTTTAGAGCATTCTTCAGCAGCTTCAATTTGTTTACTATAGAATACATTTTGCATCCTGTAAAAGAGGTTTGCCAAACAGAAGAAATAGTGTGCATGTATCTCTCATGCTTTTTCCACATCTTAAAGAACTTGAAAGGTTTTTTTCCCATAATCCTTATCTGACTATAGATATTCATAATTTAAAAAAATCTCATAATTATATATTTAAATATAGAAAGTAAAAAAAAACAAATGTATATAACTCCCTTCAACTATGAAAATTTTCGATGACCCCTTGAACTTTTCTCATTTAAGCCCCTCAAATAGGGTGTGTCTTAGAAAACCCTGACAACTATTTTTAAGTTGAGAAAATCCCCTCAAGTTTGAGCCTATTATAGATAACATCCTCAAGTTCGAAAATTAGAGAAACCCCATGAAATATTCTCACTTTACACAGTGAAAGCTAACACTATTAGATCTATCATGTCACATGCAAAAAGGTGAATGAGAAAAGACCAAAATACCCCTAAATCATAAAAAAATATTCTCATTTTCTTAGGATAAGCGAAAGAGGGTGAGTAGCATTGTAAATTGAAAATAGTTCTTTTCTACCGGTTAGGGGTTTCTTTGTAATTGTGTAAGTTGATGTTTAAAAGGGTATTTTAATTATTATACATTTTGAAATGACATCTGGCGGGCTTGATGAGAAAAGTGTGACTAATCAGAGGGATCTTTGAGACACCCCATAGTTGAGGGGGAGTTTTCTCTAATTTTCAATATTGGCTACGTTTATTTATAATATGCCAAAATTTTGGGGGTGTTTCTCAATTTCAATACCTGAGAGGAGTTTTCTAAGACATTCACCATAGTTGAGGGGGTCTTTTGAAATTAACCCTAAATTCATATATGAAAAATTATACCTATGTTAAATTATAGGGAAAATGTGTCCAAGCCCCAAAAGTGAAAACTTCATGTGACGAGGCCTCTTATATTCTGCCCCATGTGGATAAACCCCAAATACATACAGTATTTATGATGAGATCCCAAAGTATCGGTTTTAAAAAAAACCCAGTTGAAGTTACGAACTTGCTGTTAGACCCTAGAGGGAGGGTGATTAGGGTCTTATGCTAATCTAATCCGATTTTATGCCAATTAAAACTAATTCAAATAAACTATTCTTGCAAGATAGATATACAATATGTTATGAGCAAGAATATGTAATATGAACAAAGGAAAATAACCTAGCAATGATATATACTATGAGATATATGCGAGGATATACAAATAACATAAGGGTAAACAATCTAAACTAGATAGTGGGCGAGGATATACAAATAACATAAGGGTAAACAATCTAAACTAGATAGTGGGCAATATAAGCAACAAGCAATATACAAAGGCGATATAAGATTGGGCAATATAAGCAACAAGCAATATACAAAGGCGATATAAGATATGAACATAAAAATAAGTGCGCCAAAGTAATCACAAACAAATGATATGTTCACGGAGTTCGGTCCTCACGACCTACGTCTTTGCTCCTCACCTCGAGGAGATCTCCACTATCACAATCGGGTTTTCTATGCTCAACTGAATAACGTTTACACCACACAATATCGGTTTTCAACGCTCACCTATCAACGTTCACAATCTCACAATGTAACTACACTCCACACCTTCTAAGTGTTGGTCTCTAGCACATTGTTTAGGTGGCGTAACAACAAACTCAAAGAAATAGTCTTTTTATAAGATTACGACTTTCTTTCAAATAAACGTAACGGATGTTTATCTCCCGCTGCTTGCGTGGGATCTTAGCCTGTGACGGGGATGTTGATATCCATGGATCACCAAATGACCAGATCGATCCGGAGCTTCGTTAATTCGCGAAGGAATCAAGAAACCGAAGTAATTATCTCGGCAACAGCGAGATAACCACTCTTTTCGAGATCACCGCAATGGGACAATCTCAAGGAAAAGAATCGGGAACTATAGATCTGACGAACGCTTCTTTTTTATGCTGAAGAACTTGATCCGATCTCCTCCTTTCTTCTGAAATTCGTGCTCCTTCAGTCTTCAATTTAGCAGGGCTTCGCCGACGCTCGAGAATTCCAAATCCTTACAAATAAAGACCCTAGGGCTGTATTTATAGGCTTCAGGAGCTCTGTTTTTGGATAAGAATGGCCGATTCACTTTTATCCTCCGTTATAACCACTTTATCACGTTCTTGGATAACATTGGATCAGTTAGAACAAATCCAGACGGTTAACGATCGAAAAACAGCTCAAAAACAGCAAAACAGCTTTTTAGGGTCTAGGACACCCGCGCTGTCTCTGCCATGGCCGAGACACTTGTGGTGTCTCAGCTATGTCTGAGACACCTATGGTGTCTTGGCCTCAGGGCTTTGGCTCTGGGCTTTGTTTCGTACGTCCCGTCCGTTTTCATCATATTTTCATCATCCTAACTCGGAATCACGCGATTCAAAGTGCGTAGGAAAGCCGACGAGGAGATCTACAAGTTTCCATAGTTGAATCACATGTGGAGTATATGGAACATGAGGGATGCTTCGACTTTCGTAAGCAATGCGTAGCTCCCGATCAGTTCGTGTTTTCGTTATTCTGAAGTTCCGTTGCCTCACACGATTTGTCGACATGCTTCATGTGCTCATCGACGCCAATTAAGATTTTGTGACTTAGATAGTAATGTTCATCATATTCTCTCTGTCTCGAGCCGTGTGCGGGAACCTATAAGCATTTTTAGACGCCTACAGATACCCCTTCAAAGTATTTCAGTCTCGTTTCTTTTATGGAAGAGACTAAAATACTTTGGATGTGATCGGTCTAACCTTCAGTCAGTATGAAAAGACATGTAGTCAGCTTCAATATTTTACTTCTTTGTTTTTTAGTCTATTTAATATTTTGATGAATAACTGAAGTTCTTCCGGCACTGCGTTTATCGTCTGGCCGTCGTTGAAGTCTCGAATCAAAATTGGTGAGTTGGTTTTGGCTCGTGCCATTGAGTTGACTTTGAATTGATTATCTCCATCACAACGGTGTTGATTGGTGTTGACTCAACACTACGTGTTGACTGGCATTGACTCAGAGCTATGCGTTGACCGACGTTGACTTTAGGGTTATGTGTTGATCAGCGTTGACTTTCATCGCAACGCGTTGACTGGCGTTGACCTAGGGCTACGTGTTGGCCGTTGTTGACCTTAGGGTTTCACATCGACCGACGTTGACTTTTATCATGCGTTGACTGGCATTGACCTAGGGCTACGCATTGACCGGTGTTAACACAGTTTATACTCATGCGTTTGCTGGAGTCTATATAGTTTAGGCTCTTAAGGTATTAGAGCGTGGCAATCTCAACTGTTAGGCTGCAGGACTAACTATTAAAGTTGATTCATCTGTATGCATGGATCTTATCCTAAAGTTGTCGGATGCACAAGTCACGAGAACAACTAATGAAGCTGGTGCGTCAATGACTCTCACATGTATAGGATTTTTGGCAAACCCAAGTCACGAGAACAACTAATGAAGCTGGTGCGTCAATGACTCTCACATGTATAGGATTTTTGGCAAACCCTCAGCCATCAACGGGTTTGATGAGCCTGTACCGACTACCGATTGAGTCGGCTAGTATGCGGATTGTTTAAGTCTGTTCCACATGTAACGTTGTGCTAAAAGAGTTAACTCTTTTAGTGCTACGATATTAAATACGTAGACTTTATTTTTCTTGCGGGAATAGCTACCGGGTACCGCGTGTTAGGCGCTGACTTATTCCTTCTTAGGATTCGGGATAAAAGTCTCCAGACTTGGATTCTAGTGTCTTTTTCACTCGGCGAAAGACAAAACTGGTAACGCGTATTAGGCGTAGGCTTATCTCTATTTAGGAGTCGATATAAAGTTCCCCGTGCATGTAAGGAACGGATTTTGGCATTATTAATAACGGCCTGTCACAATATCGAATATGTGGGTGTTTGTTTTTTTTACGATCAAGGACTAACCGGCAACGCATATTAGGTGCTGACTTATCCCTACTTAGGCTTC